TATGTTTACATATAATATCACCATGTTTTTAAGACCTCAGCTATCTGGGGATATTGGCCTCTTCTAGGGCATACATGGAACGGAATAAAGGTATCTAGTGGTATCTACTAAAGGCCCATGTTAGGAATAGTGATCATGAGCTAACGCTGCAATAACAGTTGCAGTCTAAAGTGACCTATGTACATGCCATCACAGTTATGGATCATCCAGCTGGGATTTAAAATAAGAGACTTGGCTTTTTTTCCTTAAACATATCTCTATTTTGTAACACATTTTGTAAAGTATGTTTTATGTTCAATGAATATGATCACAAAGTTTGAAGATGAGTGTTGGAAGGTAGGGAGATACAAGAATAAACTTTTTTCCCCCTGAGAAAATCATGTGTTATGTAATAATTTTAGAGTGATGAAGACATAGATATTTTTATAATTTTAAAATACACTAGCCTGCCAGAGTATGAGAAGATTGACAGAACCAGTTTGCTTGCTCTCTATTTATAAAACTTGGCCACATCTGATTCAGAGAAGCTAGAGATTCAGGGAAACTAAACTAGACTTAGATGGTTGAGTAATATGGGATGTGGTTCAAGGACCATAGAGCATGTCAGGCCATTCCTGCAAACTACTTATAACACGTGAAATGTGAGATATGGCTGGTTTCATGTTCCCACTGAGGAGAGGTGTGGATAAACATTTCTGCCGAGGCTTGTCACATTCCTTTAACCTTGGGCCAATCTCTTAACAATAGCCATCGAGAGAGCACGTGGAGCGCGCCTTGCCTTGCTTTGCCTTGGCCTGCTGTGGAAAAACGATCTTAGAAGAATCACTGTCTAAGGGTAAGATGAGAGCTCTGTGAACTATTCTGAGCTTGAGTGTTTGCTGATGCAAAGCTAAATTTAGCAAACATGTGTCCAGTGTGGTCAGGGGTTCTGATTCATTGAACGTTTTGATTGATGGAGACAGTTTTAGTGGATGCCCTAATGAGTTAGATTTGCTCTTCACTACCCTCTCCCCAATTTTACAATAGATAATTTAGCTACAGCATGATATTGTTAAATACCAAATCTTAATAGGTGGAGAAAATGTAAAAAATTTTGGTCAAGTGTATTGACCCTAGTATATTACTACAAGGTTAGTTTGAAAATAACACCCTATTAACTTTCCCATAATTTGTGTGTCTCATAAAAGTAGAATGCTGACCATGCAGAGCAAATTTCTAGGTTTTTTTAGATTCCACTTGGAGTTTAGTGATCCATCCTTGCACCTTTGGCATGTAAGCTCCTGTAGAAAGAGTCTTAGAAATTCTTTTAAGTTTTGTATTTTAGCATTATCTATGCCTGTCATTAACATCGCAAGTCTTGCCCTTGACATAGGTGTCTTTACTCAGAATTAAGTTCTAGCATAGGAAGTATATTGATTCTAAATTGTTCCTCTGATTTGTGGAGTGAAGAATTAACAAAAAAAGTCATAGCAATAGTGTGGGCCTTTTGTTGGAACACTGCTGAGCCCCGTTCCAACTCTTAGTGATTTACAGTTCTATTTTGTTTCCTTTTGGAAAAGTATTGATTCAAAACCTGGCCCTAATGATTATTACTGCATCTTTGGAACTGGGGGGAGGGGGAGAAAATTTTCCTTCAAAAGCCCTTTTCTGTATATCTCTTGATAGGCCTGGACACTTCCCACAGCTACAAAGCTGGGAGGCACTGATAGCTATTCATGCCCAGTTTACTAAGAAAGCCTCCCTGGCTGTCTCTCAGGAAGGAAGTGACCAGTCGTTAACCTCTGCCCTTGTTATCAATCAGGTGGTTTTAATGCTATTGTAATGTAAGCTAAGTAAGGCCTGGGATAGGAACTTTATGGAAACAGCAGGATAGTTTAAGAGACAGAAGATTTTTAAAATCTGAAGTCCAAGGACATGGCCTGCACCAATCCTGCCTCCTCAGGAAATTCTCAGGAAGTCATTAATGGCAAAGTTAGATGGCCTCATATTTGTTCCTCTACCCTGGTGAGAGCAGAAGCAAGGATTCAGGGTCCAGCCAACAGTGACTGTGAACTTTTTTTGGTGCCAGACTCTGAGCTGGTGGTGGAGGACTCTGGGCGTGGTGGAGGATACAGCCTTGAGTAAGGATGTAGTTCCTCTTTTCCAGGAGCTCAGAGTCCAACTCAGGTGGGAGTAGAGGGCAAGCGAGACAAGGTTACAAACGACGGAATGTCTGGCGGAATGTGAAAGTGCTGCGACCAGCCTTCATTGCTGTGGGAAGGAGAGAGCATAAAGTGCATCTTAAAAGCAGCTGTTCTCAATCTTGAACTCACACCAGAATCACCTGGAAGGCCTGGAGCATGACAATTTGCATTTCTAACAGCCCAGGTGATATGATGATGATGCTGCAGGTCCTGGGGCCACACTTTGAGAACCACTGACTTAGGGGAAGCAATGCTTGTACTGAGCAAGAAGGATAAAGAATTTGGGCAGACAGGTGATTGGAGGCAGCACAGTTTTTAGTGGGAGTAAGAGCAAGGGGATGTGCTGGGAAACCTGAGTAGTTCACTTAGGGAAATGGTGGTAGATACAGGTGGATGTTTGAGAGGGCCTTGAAATACTATCTTGTAGTCTGTACCTACTCTGGAGGTAACTGAGGAGCCAAAGGTTTTTGAGCAGAAAAGGCATGTAACCATAATTACATTCCAGGAAAATCTGGCAGCAGTATTAGCAGTATCTGCCTAACTGATTAGTTGTGTTGAGAAGGATTCTGAGGCTGAGAGTAGACCAGCACTTTGGTGGTTTTTGCCATGGATAGAAAAATTGAGAATGGTGGTAATTTTGCCACATACTTGCTATCCCTGGACTAGAGAGAGAGAAATTAGGAGAATTTTGGAATAGCGGTGATAAAAGGCAATCAGGAATTATATTTTGATGGTATTCCTTCAAACATACGTAAGGACTTACTATAGGACAGCAGTGGAAAGGGATATTAAGATATTGCTAAGGTAGGATTTACAAGATGTGAGCGATGACTGACTCATTTATTCAGTAAAAGAGTGGCCAGAAGAAGCGAGGGATACAAGAATAAAATGTGAACCCTGATCTCAAGGAACTCACAGCCTAGAGCAGGGACAGACACAAACAGCTAACTAACATGTGGTAGAGGAGGTCGTACAAATAGAGATATTTGTGAAAGGCTCCTAGAGATGTCTGGACTGAGTTGCAAAGCGTCAGTAGAAGTCCCCTGGGCGGACTGGTGGTGTGTGTGAGCAAGGCCGGCGTGCAGGGTGCATGCGGGGGAGACAGGCTGACGAGCAAGCAGAGGGATGGCACGAGCAGGGTGATCCGCAAGGAACTGTGAGTCACTGGGTTGCAGAGTGTGAGGCAGGGAGTGGTGAGAGCCAGGTGGGGCAAATGACAGGGGCCAAGTGTCCAGCGTAAAGACTTTAGAATGTGTGCCGTGGACTGGGGGGACCACCGAAGGTCTGATAGGTTACCGGGACAGTGTGAATGGTGCGTTTATAGGAGAGCCGTCAGGACGCTGGTGCGGTTGTCCAGGCACTAGGGGACCTGCAGTATAGGGCAGTGTGAGTGGCACGAGAGCAGAGAGACTGGAGACACGGGACTGCTTGGAGTTGGGGAGCGAGGGAGAGGTGGACACCTGTGACTTCTGTGGATGTAGGTTGGGCAAATGGTCATGCCAGAAACAGGGCTGGAAGCCAGAGGAAAGGGAGATGGTTTAATAAGGGAAATGAATATTTTAAGTTGTGAGTCTGAGGTACTTGTGGACCCTCCTCGTATCAGTAGCCAGCAGGCTGTCGGACATGAGTCTGAAGCTCGGGATTGCTGTCTGGGCTGCCAGTACTGATTTGGGAGCCGTTAGCATTTATGTGGCTTGAAATCGTAAGGGTAGATGAGATCACTCAGGGAGTAGTGGCAAGAGAACACACAGTGGTCTGGGAACACTAGGTGTAGGCCCAAGAAAAAGAGCAGCCTGTGCGAGAAGGCCAAGGAGAACTGGGAAGTCCAGGGACCGGGGCCTGCCCCACAGGCGGGTTTGGTCAGCAGGGAGGACAGCCGCAGCCGGAAAGTGAAACTGGCCAAAGAGTAATCATAAAGGCAGGAATTTCATGCGGTTCAAGGAGGCCAAATCTAAAGGCCCTTGCTGCGAGACCTGCCTCTTGCTGGTAAAGGGCGGTGTGCTGGGACTCCGGCCAGGTCCTTAGAAGAAAGACCGCTGCAGAAGTGGCCACGCTAAAGGATTATTCTAGCCCCATTTTGTCCTCCCTCAAATTCTGCTTCTTCACACTCTTAGAAACCAAATGGCATTGCACATTTAATCATCCTGTTTCTTTGTCCACATCTTCTGAGGTCAGTATAAGATCCAGCCAAGGAAACAATTTTGAAGTCCCCTTTTCCTTGGGAGTTTGAGTTCAAAATGAGTTTTCACAGGAGCTAACAGTCATCTGAGCTGAAGTGTGGAAAACTTGTTCCTTGTGAATCTAAAACTACCTTCGTGCCTGTAGGAAGACTAGTCCGGTGGCATTTAGGACATGGTGACAGCATGGAAGAGGCAGGCTAGGAGAGGACTGGTAGAAGCAAAAGGTGGCAGGCAGGGCATGAGGTTGGGGTGGTAGCATTCAATCATCCACCACAAGCTTTCGGGTACAGGGGGAACAAATGCAAAGCGGCATTGCCGAGGTGGCATCAAGGGGACCTGTGCAGCGTTTAGATGTGGGGAGCAGGAACACACACTAATTAGGAAGCTTACCTTTGCGTGGATGGCCCAGGTGCTGCTGTCACTGCCAGACCGGCTGGCACTGCATGTTGCCCTTGGTGAGTGAAAGAGGGCAGTGGGTGTTCCACGAGGCCGACGGCAGAACGTGGCCCGGCGCGTGGTTGGACAGAGTTCGCCTGGGCTTGCAGACATTTGCCTCTGGCCCTCCCGAGCCCTGAAGCCCCCGCGCCCCTGCTGGGCCCCGTTACATCTTCTCTCCACCCAGAGACAGCAGCAAGAATCAGACTGAGCTTCTGGCACAGGAGCTTTTCCACGGAAAGTTTATTAGAAGGGCACTTAACAAGAGAGAGGACACCAATCTTTAACGATAGGGGTACAATGCTTAAACAAACAGGTGCTCTGCCTTTAAAATATAAAAGTTAGAAAAATCTAAAACACTATAAATACATACATGCTTTTTACAAAGATATTAAAAGGTCAGGCTGGCCGAATAGTGAAGGTAATCGACGTCCTCCATGATCCACCCCCACCCCCAGCGCACACAGTGAGTCCGGAACAGCCGAGTTGCAGCAGCAGCCGTGACGGCGAGTGAAGGCTTCTTGGAGAAAGACGGCCCCAGCTCTCTGTAGAGCTTTCACCCCTAGGAAGCGAGGGGGGCTTGGTTCATAAAACTCCTACAGAAGGGCCTAGATTGGACTCAGAGGCTACCTGTTTTTATGCGCTGCCACCTGTTTAGCCAGCCTGGTTTGGCGTTTCTGGCTGCTGAGCCAAAATAGTCACTACACTTTCCACCAACATTCGGAACTGGCTGTGCCCCAACTCTTCTAGCCACTGTCCTTGAGAGGGGAGACCTTTCCAATTTTCTTTAAAAAATTAAATAGTTATCTGAATGGTTTTAAGAAATTATTACATAAATATAAAAACACCAGAATACTAGAGTATACCTTATTTCTGCATTTAAAAAAGAAAGAAAATCTATTATAGAATCACTGAGAATTTCTAGATCCAGTTTATAGGAGAGGCGAGTTCCTTTTATGTGATAGCTGTGTTTCTGAACAGTTGCCCGTACAGCAAGTCATTTCCCCGCTGACAACTCCCATCACAGGTGCTGCACCTTCATCTTCGGTCATATCCCCGGGGTACATTTTTCTCCTCTCCCTGCCCCCTTCAGAGTTGGCTGGTGCTCCTTCTAAGAGTGATGCGCATTGTGAAGACTGTTACTTGAAGGGGTGCTAAAGGGAACATTTATGCCACACAAATAAAAATGATACAGCTTAGCTGTGTTGAGGTTTTCTTCCGGTAAAATGGGGACATGTCTATATTTTGGGAAAACTCCCAACTCTAGCCAAGTCACACAGTAAGAAACAGGGTCCAGAGCTAGACTTGTGCCCTCTCTTGTAGCCCCCTTGGTAAGCAGTCCCATGAGCGGCCTGCAGATTCCTTTCCTACCTCTGTTTTTGAGGACTAAGGAGAGGGGCCTAATGTGAGCTTTGGCCCTGTGGAGCCCATCACGGAGCCTCAGAATGGCAGCCTGGGGCCAAGAGTGAAATCAGATATCTGCCTTCTCCCCAGACTACTCACGTACATGCATGCCATGCACATGCTACTTAAAGAAAACCTTTCTGTGGTTTGAGTAAAAGCATTTAGCCTGGAATATGGCCAAACTCTAGGAAGTCAAGGGGGGATGGAGAAAAACAAAACAAATTAAGCACATGATATGTGCTACAGCTCATTTCAATACATTAACAATGATTTAAAAAAATAATCACCACAGTCAATAAAAAAATACAACAGACAACATAAGGACAATGGAAAAGTCTGCCAGCAGCCTTGCCCTCATGTGTGTTTTTCGTAAGAGTCAAAGTCCCCGCTCCTGACTCTGGGCTTGTCTCAAAATGTCAGATCTACAGCCTGCCAGGAAGGTGGCCAACTGAGATGATGTTCCAGCGCAGGCCTGTAATCCAAACCGGCTGGGGGAGCTACCTACCTATGCGCTGGAAGGATCTAAGTTACTAAATAAAGTTGGGAAGAAGAGGACTAGTGGGGAGGAGTGGAAAGGAAATAAAAGTCGGCTCCTCGGGAGGTGCTGAAGACATGGATCTATGCCCCAGTGCTAGCCACACTCGGGGCCAGTGTCAGCACAAGCCACAGGGCAGAGACACCGTCACGGCAGGAGCCTGGGGGGAGGGGAACACACACTTCGCTACACTTGGAACCGCTATCTAGCAGCCACCGGCACAGCTCTAAAACTGCCCTGGTTTCCTCTTGCCCCTTTCAACTGTTCTTTAGAAAAGTTTTTTAATATACAAATGCCATTCATACAAAAGGATTTTAAAACTAAGAAAACTAGTTTTGTGACTTTAAGGAAGGACACTAATATTACACATGCCCAAAGCACCTACGTAGCGCTCTATAATGGGAACGGCACCATTTCCTAACCTCTTAAGTGTGACCAAATTTATTTTCAGTGATGCCAAAGGCGGGCTTGCCTACAGCCTCCTCACATGTCCTCCTGTGGTAGTCTCTAGTCTATAAAGACGGGGCCAAGAGGGAGTCTTCAGGTCTGAGCACTGAGCATTCTAAGACACCAGCCAAATGCACCCAAATGTGTAATCCATTACATTTGAAGTTTTTAACTTGCCAAAAGTATACGTTTCCTTCCCTTCACCTGGAACAAGACAGGACTTCCATTGATCACGGGGTCACCAGAATTGGGCTGTACCTGAAGCTAGTTCCCCAGCAGCTGGGGGACAGCTGTGTGCCACAGGAAGCCCTCATGGGACCGTGTAGCAGGTGGAGAATGCAGGCCCTCGGAAACCGCTGCCATGGCTTTTAGGAGAGAGGCCATGATTGCTCCAGCAGACGCCAAAGCAGAGTATTTGTGCCCGGGGTCCCGGCTGACTGGGATGGTGAGCGCACACACACGAGGGGCGGGCTTCCTGCGTTTGTAAGAGCAGCCCATAGATCATTTCGTGCCAGGCACGCGCTTCAGACCCACAGTACTTGGCCTTCTCAGAGGAAGCGAGGGGTTTCGTGTTGTCTCTGGGTTCTGTGTCAACATCCCTGCTTGAAGACTGGCACAGACAGGCCTGGCAAGGTGCTCCTTCAGTCTCTTCCTCAGGAGGCTCAGGGAACAGCTCTCCTACCTGGAAACCTCAAGGCTTCCGCTTCCTAGGCACAGGGTCCTGCAGGGGAGGTACCAGGAAGCCCCCTCTATCTTCCTACAGCGTCAGAAATTGCATCACATTTGAGATTTATAACCTGCCAGAAGTATACACTTTTCTTCCCTTCACTTGGAATAAGACAGGACTTCCATAGGAAATCCTCTTATTTTTCCTGGTATAAATCCATGCAAAAATGTGGGATAAGTCACTTCCTACAAAAACAGCAGCAAAGAACAAAGTACCAATTGAATGAAGGTGGCAATTCTGTCTGCTGTATTCTGCAAAAGGCCAGTAAAAGAGGAGGGCTCTTCTTTCTTTTTTACAATTGAAATAATTTATATTAGTTTTCTCCCTAATTGCCACTGGGAGCGGTACTTATTCTGCAATATAACTGCTGTAGTTGTCACTGATGATCCTCCACTGTGAGCTAGATAATCTTAGATCCCAGGGGAAAGATGGCAGACCTCTTTGCACCAAGCCTGCAATTTTCAAAGGTGTAAAAAAATTTTAATAGCCCTTTTCATTTGCCTGTGTTGGCCTGAGATTTTTCCCTTCTGGTGAATTTGCTCCTGTAAATTTCAGCTTCCGTAAGTGCTGGCAGGTGTCTCTGCAACAAAACCTGGAAAAAGCTTCCCCTTGGGAGAGAGAAGGGAGAGAAGTAGTGGCTGGGACTCGCTCTGGTTTCCCAGTCAATATGCCAACCCAGGATTTTCTTAAAAAATATAAAACAAACATTTAAAAGAGCATATGATAAAGTTGATTTAATTACTGCAACCGACTACATAAATCAATATAGCCGTATGCATCAGAATCTGGAGCGAGCTCTCACGGATGACAGGGATGCACTCAGGATGGCGCTGCCTCAGCCTAAACGCCATCCCAGGGCCACGGCCCCCTGCTTCACGTGGACACTTACCATCATTCAAATCTCTTTGAGATTACTGTGACAACAGAAACTCTACACTGCATACGCACTGAGCTGCAGCAGATCCTTCCAACTTTTCAAAGTGAAAAAGGACAAATTTAAGTTTTTAAAGAAGAGGTGGCTCTCACCCACTCCCACTTGTCCCGTGCACATGTTCCGCTGAGCACGCCTGTGCCAAGTGGTATGTTCTGAGAGGGCAGGGGGGCAGACAAGCCCCGGCGCCACCCCAAGCCGATCTGGCTCCCGAGGTGTGGGCTCTGCTGGAGTGGTGGGGCTTCGTCGGGAGTGCTCAGGTGAAGCGTTTGTCAAAAGCGCCGAGAGCTGGGGTGAGGTCTGTTCAGCGCCCTGCAGGCTTTTCCTGCCGAGAACACCCTTCCAAGGTGAACTCCACAATCCAGTCCTGGACAGAGGGGCACTTCGGTTGGACTGCGACATCCCAGATTGCTGTCATTCAAAAAGGAAGGAGGCTGGGGGTTGAGGGCGGGTGGTGAAACACTACCTGTTCTGTTTGCTCAGGCCACCAGAGCAGAAGCCACTTCTTGCCCTTGAAGCTGGCGCCAAAGGGCAGATGCAGCTGTTCGTAAAATCCATCTCTGGGTTTGCTTTTGTGTTTTGGGAAACAGGCTGGTGCCACTTTAGTTGAGGGAGAAAAACTTCTTCCTTGACAACGATGGGTTGAGTAGAGTTGCAATCTTCTCCACCTCCTACATGGCCATTTCCCCAAGCCCATCCTCCCCACCCTCCCCCTGCACGCCCGGTGTCTCTAAGACACGCTGGAACAGCGGATGCTCGGGGAGCCCATCTGGGTAAGGACCTTGTCAAGCCACTGCAAAGGCCCATTCAGGTGCAGCTCAATCCAGCAGGGGGTGCTGGTCACTGTCTGTCTCCTGCAAGAAATAGGGAAAGGGGTTGGGGACTTGAAAAATGCCCAGAGGGACACACAAATTAGAACACCCTTTTCTGCTTTGCAGACAATCTACCTCCCAAAGTCAGAGATACATCCTACCTTGTTAGTGCCCTAGAGGGGGTGCCAATAACTTGCTGAAACTACCAGGCCAAACCCCTGCAACTAGGGCGGACTTAGAGTAAATCAGGTTCTCCTGACGGGGAAGGAGGTGGACCTTAAAGAGTTAAACATGTAAAGTCAATTCCAGGGTGTCAGCCAGTTACTGGGACGAGCCCCCCAGTGGAAGGAGGGCCTCCAGCCTGGGCCGAGGTCTCCCTGGCTGCCGTCTGCACCGAATGGGCACCTGTAGCTCCCCCACCTCCAGATCCGGGCCCCGCCTCCGCCGGCTGCGATGACGTGCGTCTGTCTGATTGAGGGGTGTTTTTACAAAGCGCCGACAGAGCCCACATGCCTTCAGTTCCCAATGTGCTGATATAATTCCCATCTACGGCCTTATTTTGGAAAATCTTACAAGCAGAGCGAGCCATGGAACAATTACTGGAAAAAACCGAGGCACAGCACACGTTTCTTTTCCCCAAAGCTCTTTGTCTCATTTCAGGCTAGTTGGTGACGCAGCTCCCAGAGGCCCCCACTGCGCAGAGGCTATCTGCTGAGGCCGGAGTGGCGGGTGCCAGCTGGAGGTGAGAGGCATGGGCGCCGGGCCCTGCTTTCGGCCACCTCACAGACAGGAGGACTGAAACCTTACTCTCCTTGGCCCCAGAGGCAGGAGGAGGGCAAGCTATTCTGGGAAGGGGCCACACCCGCCCGCGAGGCTGCGGGGCGGTGCTGCCAGGCGGTGGGCCTCACAGGACCGAGTGTGCTGGCAGTAAGACCCGCACGGGGACACAGCGCCCCCAGGAAGCCTTCTGCCACCAGGGAGCCACTTCCCAGCGCTTGGAGCTGGCAGGCCGATGCCGTGCCGGTCCAGTCTGCGGTCCCCAGGCCACCGCCCTCCTTGCAGGGCTACTCTTCCTCAGAGCCTCAGGAGGCTCAGAAATGGGCTCGCTGGCTCCGCCTTGGGTGTCTGCCTGATCCAGGGTGCCCGAGTGTGACCCTCACGACTGCAGTCTGGTGTAAGAAGAGCAAAGGGACTTCCCCTTGCTCTTTCCCAACGGGGTCCATCTTTAAGTATTTCCCTTCCCTGCTAAAAAATATTAATGTTCTGACCTTTCACTCTTGTTCCCTAAAGGGTCTAAGCCGGGCTTAAAAGGCTGGCTCAACCGTCTCTCCGGCGGGGCCTCTGGGCCGGGGCTAACCTCCTGAGGGCTGACCACTTTGATCGCTCAAGTGGTCACTCCTGCATTTCAGGAAGACCCTGGAGACCAAAGTGCTGCGTTTCCTACACCACGGGGCAGACACAGAAGGACAGCGGCTAAAATACGGTAAATGGAAGAGGAGGATTTCACAGACCGAAATCCTTTAATGAGAATCTGACTTTCCATAAGTCATGCTCATCTGGATTTCATTATAAACGGTGGCCCAGAGCCAATGCTGAAATGGGTTTGGCCCGGGTGCAGCGTGACTGCAAAACAAAATGGATTCCAAACATCTGGAAAAATGAAGAGAAGGGCAGAGTCGCTCTCGAGGCGCTGGCTCCAGCTGACGTGCGGGCACCTCCGTGTGCGCCGCAGAGCTGGCACTGGCGGGGGCGGGCGCAGCAGCCCCTGCCCCTCGGCAAACTCCCGGCCACGGGTGGCAGGAATAGGGACTGGATCCTCTAAACCCAAACCAGAGCTGCCCGAGAGAGTCAACGGGCAGACCAGGTAGGCCTATCATCAGGGCCAGGTTTTGACCAGTATCTAGAATTCTATAAAAAAGAAAATCATTTACTTTTTGAGCAAGAAAACTTTATTCCTTCATCACTACCCAAATCTCCTCCTCCCTTGCCTGATTCTCAGTTTGAATTTCCTCCCCTCTCAGGGTCACCAGTGTCCCTGGGTCAGAGAAGGAGCCACGGAGACGGGAGGGGACAGCGAGGTGAAGACTGAACTTCCTGGAGAGGGCCACGCTAAAGCCATCTGCGCGAAGTGGCGGCGGCGGCAGTAGCCAAGAGGGCACAGGTCTAGGCTCGGCTTTCTCACTCATGAGGTGACTTCAGGCAAGCCCCTTTTCCCTCCCTAGGCCCTAGAGCTGTCATCGGTACAGCAGGGAGGACGCCACGGTCCCCACCCAGGGCTAAAGCAACCCCTGGATCCCCCAATGGCTTAATTCACCCGGCTCCAGCGGCACCTGGCAGAGTCACCCATTAGGTGAGGATAAAATGGAACGTGTGTGTCCACGGCGCCTGAGAAGCTGTTCTGAGCAAGCGAGCTCTGTTCTGCTGGGCCTCCCCCTCCAGTGCGGGCCGGCCCTCCCGCCCGCCCTCCAGGCCGCGGCCTCTCTCTGCTCCCCGACAGACAGACGCAAAAGCCGGCCTCACTGGTCCCTGAGGGCCCCGCCCGCCCTGCCCTGCGAGCGGCCTGGAGCTGGGGCCCCGGGCAGGCAGCGGCGCACTGACCTGTACTCGGCGCCCCAGCCTTTCACGAAGCTCATGCGGATCGTGCACATCCGGGTCAGCTGGTACACGGCCTCGAAGCCCTGGTTGACGGACTGCGCCAGGAGGGCGGCGAACTCCTGATTGTTGAAGATCTTCAGGTTGCATCCTGTCAGACAGACAGAAACAGCGCTGTGGGGTGGAGGAGTGCACACGTCCGCTGCTCCCCTCCCGGCTAAGGCAGCCCCTGGGTCCCCCAGAATGGCTAATTCACTCGGCTCCAGTGGCACATGGCAGTGTCACGCGTTAGGTGCACGATCCACGCTCAGAGCCACCTGAGGGACAGGCCGACTCGGACCCTGCACTTGAACCCTTCAATGCGCCACCACCCGATCGGGAGACGTGGCTGACACACACGGGAGGGCAAGTCAAGGTCGTCCCGCGAGCTCTGGCTCCCGGAGCTGGGGGAGGTCTGCAGAGCGGCTCCTGAGAACAGGGACATGGCGTGCAGGGCTGGGCCTTGCCCGGCAACGGGGCCAGGAGACAGAGGGCAGGGGCCTCGCCAGGGTGCACGTGCTGGGTGGGGTCTGGCTGCCCAACTGGGACCGGGAGCCCCGGCTGCTGCACAGCAGGGAGGGAGAGCAGAGACAGGCCAGCTGAGAGGCCATCGGGCCTGCCATTCGAGCAGGCAGCCTGGCAGAGGGCCGGGGCCCATCCGCCCAGGCTCCTCTGACAAATCCGCCTCCCGCTGGGCGAGGAGGGAGCAAGAGATCTGGGCCACATTTTGGCCTCTGAGCACAAGGCTGGGTCGAGGTGACACTCACAGCGAAGTGGAGGTGTGCATCTAATTCTCCAGACAGTAAAACTAAAGACAGGCACAAATCAAGTTTAAAATAAACCTCCTATTTGAAGTCCTACTGCCTGAGTGCCAGGAATGTGTCAACCAGAAAAATAAAGACAAAAGCACATGCCGGAAATAACCAAAAGGTGAGCTGAGGTGACTCTCCTGAACGGGCCAGCCCTGGGCCGCTAATCTCGCCGTGTGACTCTGAGCTGGTCGCTTTCTTTGTGACCCCGCATCTCCTCTGTGCAAGGAGAGGCTGGCCTCGGAGGTCCTCACGGCTCTGCCGTCTGAGCTGACGAACACCACCAGAGCCAGCTCGGCCCTCGGCCCAAAGACCGGGTAGGGCTGGGGAGGGGAGTGGGCGCAACGCCAAGAATGCACAGAGCTTCCTCTTCTCGCTCTCCCTGGGGGGAAGTGTGGGGTGAAGCCGCGCTGGGCCCAGCAGAGCCCAGAAGCAGAAGAGAGTCAGTCGTCCCAGGCTCCATCCTGGCTCAGCCCCTTCCTAGCTATGTGTCCTCAGGCAGGTGGCTTAAACTCCCTGAACTTGTCCCCTCAACGCGTCTCCTACTTACAGAGCCAGAGTAACGGGAGAGGGCCAAGTGAGACATAAGTGACAAATGTCCTCTGTGATGCAGCCACCAGGTGCTATGGGAGCAGGGTGCCCTGTCACCACGTCAGACTCTGCATTCTGAAATCTATCTTGCCCGTGGTTCAGCACTCCCCTGTTTTCTGCCACTCAGTGGGCAGGAAAACATGTGCCACAGGCCAATGTGCCTCAGTGGGCAGGAAAACATCCACCACACATGTGCCACAGGCACTGGGCTGACCCAGGCCACATGCTCTGCCAGCCAGTCACAGACCACGTTTTGCAGGCTGCGTGCTCGGTGGCCACATGCCACGGGAGAAGTGGGCTCCAGTTGGGCTTTCTGCCTTGCTTTCCAAAGCAAAGGGGCCTTGGGTCGGATCAGCCTCCTGCCTGATCGTGCTGTCCAGGCATGACCCTGTCCAAACCACCCTCCGGGCTCTGACCCACCCCTGCAGTTCAGCGTGCTTTCTCCCTGTCTGCGCTGCTCGCCGGAAGCTTGGTCCCCTCCCCCATATTAAACTCGGCTGTGGCTGTGTCTTGTTCACTCCGTAGGTCTATAAGGTCTGCATGGGCAGAGCAGGGCCCCATCCACCCCCGTCCCCCCCACAGCATCTGGCACTGCGTCCTGCACGCTGTGTGTCTGTGCAATGCACGAGTGACGGAAAGAAGCCACACTGCCTGAGCATCTGTGCACACGAGCAACGGGCAGGTACCCACAGGTTCAAGGAAGATACGTTAGATGCTACATCTGCTCCCTGGAGGTTCAGGGAAAGCACAGTAAGGAAGCCCAATCCAATCAGCTCCAGGCTGACAGTGCAAACACCAATGAAAGCAAAGGTAAGAAAGATGGACTCTGTCTAGCATCCTGGGCATGCACTTGGGGGAAAGGACCTCAGGACAGGGGTGGGCGGCTTACCTGGTGGGATCTTGCAGACGGTGGCTGGGTGCCAGCCATAGCGCTGGTTACAGTTGGGAGACTGGACGAAAATAGCGCTGTCGCTGAGGCACTCGGCGAAGACCTCCCCTCCAATGTAGTAGAGCCGCACGCCTCTCCCTAGAGAGACTCAGGTTAGACGGGGCGCCCCCACCCCCACACGGTGGCCTGGGGCCAGCAGGCGGGGCTGCAGGGGTGCTCGAGTGACTGGTTCTCTGCCACCTTCCCCAGCAGACAGACCTGGAGCCCGAGCCTAAAACTCAAGTAGGGGAAATCAGGGGCCATGCTGGGTTCCTGAAGCCAGTGGGGGCAGGTGATGGGAGAAAAGGGCATGGGGTACGTCTCGGTGACAGCCTCTGCCACTGACTTGCCACGCGGTGGAGTTACTCAGCCTCTGAGCCTCAGTTTGTCTACAAAGCGGGGACGATGATAATTGCGGTAAGTGCCTGGTGACTGTCAGCCGCTGCTGCTGCCACACCACGACTATGTGGTCCCTTCCCGCTGCAGGACTCGGGCTGGGTCAGCAAACCCGCTGGGCTCCTCCCAAGGCAGCGGACGCCCAGAAGCCCTTGGCTGCAGGGACGGCTCAATGCTACCTCCTGTACCTTTTTCCTCCCTCAACGTATTTTTCTAAAACATTCCATGGGTTTATATCATTTACTTTTCTTTCATCTCTTAAATCCACTCCAGATGGACAGAAATTATTTTTAAATTGGCTCTGCAATTCGAAGTTGCGTAAACACTCTGACAATCGGCTCTCGGCTCAGCCAGGGATGCTCCCCCTCCGGCCTGGGAGCGTCTCCGTCCCATTCCTGGGGACGAGGCTCAGAGGGCAGGAAAGGGCCGGGTTTTACAGGCCCAGCGTCAACAGGGATGGAAACCAGCTGACCAACCTGTGCACCACTCGCTGTCCCCTGCCCTGCCCGCTTCCCACTACCGTCCCGTCCCCAGCCACTCCCCGGTTCTTCCGCTTTCAGCCCTGCAGGACTCGGTGTCACACACACGTGCAGGTGCAGGGGCTCAAGTCACGGGAGGGCGGCTGCATTATGTCCAGAGCAGGGGGAAGAGGTGCGGGTGGGAAGACCCAGACCAAAAATGTTTCCTTCGTTTCAGTCATTTTAAAAGAATTATTTTTTAAAATATAGAAAATGCTAGGCTCTGTGGCATATGCCCACAGTCCCAGCTACTTGGGAGGCTGAAGTGGGAGGATGGCTTGGCCCATGAGTTCAAGACCAGACTGGCCAATACGGCAAGACCCCATCTCTAAAAAAAAAAAAATCAAACCAAATAAATACATACATAAAAACATAAAAGTACAAAGATAATAAGTCAAACCTGTGCTTGCCACCCAGGATTAGTATCTAGTATCTTTTTCAGAAAGGAAACGAGGAAGGACGGGTTTGGCAGTGAGGGGTGTCTGTCACTGCCTGTGTGGCCTCTGCAGGGCCGTTCCCCACCTCCCCGGGCAGCAGGTCATTGCCTGGGGAATGAACACACCTCAAACACACGGCCTCCGAACTTTTCTTTTCTTATTATAAAATCAATTCTCTCTTCAAATGAAGTCTTCCACGAGAGCCCAAGATAACGAACAAGTGAGTGTGGAGTTACTCTGGCTCACGTAGGGCCAGCCCCCGCCCCCCACCGCCGCTGCCCTGCCCAGCTCCCCGAGTTTGCGTGGGAGCCCCTGGCCAATCCTCTGGGCTCCAGGACGACGTCCGGACATGATAACTTTCTAAGCAAACCAAGGGATGCGTAACGCGGCCCCATCCTCCCTAAACTAACAGTGGTCTTTTGCACACGCTCTGGGTGCCAGCGGCAGAATGCTAGCTGTAGCGGTGTCTGGGTAGTGGGCAATTCCTGCCTTTCTACCTTTCCTAAGTGTCTAATCACATATGAAAACCACAAAAGAGGACTGCCTGCTTAGCAACCTATCTGTACTGCAAGGGCGTTTTTATTAAGAGAATTCTGCATGTTGCCTTTCTCCTACACTTCCCTTTCTTGTCCCTTTGAGTGGGAATGACCCAGCAACCTGAACCCTACTGTCTGGCCCATAACCGGGCAGCAGACACCCGGGGGCTGGCTGGGGCTCGCGTCCCTGCCCCGCTCCTACGGAGGCACGGCACTGCTAGGGACTAAGGCAGGCGCTGGGCGGCCCGGGTGGGAGCAGGTGGGGGCCGTGGCCACCGCTTACCGATGTGCCTCCGAGTGAGCTCCACTGCTGCGTTCCTGTTGACGTTGGAGAGCAGCCCCAGGCAGAAGCGCTCCGAGTTGGAGGGGTCGGTGAAGCCGTCCACCGTCATGGATGGCTGCGAGGCGTGGAATGTCTCCCCGACGCGCTGGTTCAGCTCGTAGTAGGAGATGGAGCACCAGAAGGCCGGCTCGCAGTAGGTGACAGGCTGCAGGTCTGCAGACAGGGCAGGCCACCGGTCAGCGGGTCCCATGCTCCCTCAGTGGGGTCCCCCGGGATGCTCCGGGAGACTGTCTCCCCACTTCTCAGAGGGTCTTAGTAATCTGCTATCCCTGTGCCTTTTATTGTACAAAGCTTGTATGATCTAAGGGAGCAAGAAACTCCCTTAGAGAGAAGCCCTGCAGACACCCTGTGTGCGTAAAGAGCCACTGAATTCGTTTGTTTTTAGCTCACAGAGCTGCCCTACCTGGCCGTGGCTGGATTGACGCAGTCTTCAAGGAGGGGCTGGGGAACCTGAAGAGGGCCTGGCACCAACGGCCACCCTCCCAGGGCCGGCCACCTCCCTGCACGCTCACCTCCCAGCCTCTCTACTGAGGCCCCCAGAGGAACCCCCACTAATCTCTGTCCCCAAAAGGGCTTCCAGGTTTGGCCCTGCGAGGCCCTGGGCAAGCTCTGGGCTGCTGAGCAGCAGCCTAGTGGGCTCCGTGGTGCCCGGCGTCTATGGCCCACACGTGCTGGGCATCATCTGCAGACCGAGCCCAAGGCCACAGCTCTCGTCACAGAAGCTGGTTTCCACACTTGTCTGGACACCGGTGCCGGGTAACACACACACTCACCTAAAAAAATCTCTGTATCTGTCCCAGTGGTCCGGCTGCACAGTCTCAATCTGGGGCTCCTCAAAGCAAAACTGCCACCTTGTGAGGGCCAGCTCCCTCCCAGAGAGGACAGCAGCTTCCCTCACGAGACCCAGCTTTCTACAAGCATCTCCCAGGACACCCGCGCCCTTCTCTGGCGCCAGCCACCCTGCCGTCCCGCTGCATGGCGCCCTGCCCGGGTCCGCAGCTCCTCCCAGGCCCTCGGAGCCCCCTGGCCATCGACACCACGGCCTCCCCGGACTGCCCAGCGCTGGCTGCACCGAGCCCTGGGCGAGAGCACCGCCCACCGCGCCCTGTTCCCCACCTATGTGAATCCCAACCCCTCGTCGAAGAATCAGGGAGTCTCCTCCTCGTTCTCACTCTTCCATCTCGAACCTCCGGCCTGGGCCACTCACTCTGGCTCTTTCTTTCATGTTCTTGGAGACGCCTGGTAACTTAGGGTGCGTCTTTGTGTGAGCGGGTGACGACGGGCGTCCTGACTATCCCACGCAACCGTGAGGTCCCAGGGCCCAGGCTGACACCTTCCCCCGTCGCTGTAGCCCTGGGCTCGGGGCTCTGCTGAGTGAGGAACAGGGCAGGCCCGCAGTGCCCGAGAACCCTGCCCACTGCGTGCCAGGTAGCTTCCAGGAGCGAGAGCCCACTGGGGACCTCTCTGCTCACCAGAGCTTTGGAAGGTACGCAAAGTCCCAGAGGGGAAAATGAGAAGCTGTTCTGCCCACCGAGAGGGGCCTGGGTGCTCCCTGAAGGACAGAGTGGCCCTGATGTCCTTTGAGGGTCCAAGTACATTCCAGGTGACGAGAATGCTACCACACACAGAGGAGATACTGACCAACTGACACCCCTGCACTCAGCACACACCCAGAAAGTGTCAGCTGGAGGGTTAGGACACCCTAAGTCAGGTTCCTCAGCAACCTCGGCACTACTGACCTTTTGGGCCAGATGATTCTTTGTTTGTTGGTGGTGTGTGTGTGGGGGGGTCTGCACATTGCGGGCTGTTTAGCTGCGTCTTGGCCCCCACCCAACTAAATGCCAGAAGCCTGTTCCTGGATGCCAGCAGCATGGCCTCTGCCCGCTAGGTGCCAGTCGTATACATCCACCTCGCCCTCTCCGGTCGGAGCAATAAAAAACATCTGCAGACATCACCAGATGTCTTGGGGGGGGGGGTGGCATTGAAAACCACTGCCCCAGATGTTTAACCAGGCCGTGGAGCACAAGCTTTAAGCTCATGATGAGTGCAGCCAACCCTGGCTCAGGCGCTGTGACGGGAGCACACAGCTAACTCTCTGAGCTCGGCTTGCACAGGGCCCTCCCCGGCGCCTGAGCGCTGAGATAACCCACATACACTGCAGGGCCCCAATGCGTGGTGTTGACAACAACATAACAACCCAGGTTCTAGGAACCTGAGCACAGCCTGGTCCCGTCGCCACCTCCATCTCAAGAGGGGCAAAGAACCCTCGGCCCTTTCCTTTCCTCCCAGGGTGGAGCGATGGAGGCGAGGATGGAGGAGGGATCTAAGCTGCTCAACGGGGAAGGGAGGGCTGGCGGGGCGGAGGCCACTGTGGCCTGCGCCCTGGCCCTGAGGTTGGGCTGAGCTGCGTCAGCCACGTCCGGCTCTGGCTTCGCTCGATGCTCTTCAGCATTCCACTGAGATAAGCTATATTCTAAACAATGTGGTCACTAAAATGTGAGCTATGCTACTTTTGGAAACTTAAGGAAAAAAAAAAAAACCACCAAGAAATCCAAGTGCAATCCAAGCAGAGTGGTCGGGTGGCATGTCAGGGCTGCTAGCTACCTCTGCCCAGGCGAGGGCTCTGCTGATCTGTGTGTGACCTTGGGGATGTGATCTCCCTCTGTGGCCGCAGTGTCCTAGTCTGTACAATGGCTGCAGTGCACCAGAAGACATCTCAAGCTGCAGGTAGGTCACTGAGCTCTGGCATGGGTCAGCCTGAGCAGGCAGCTCCGGCTGATCTGGGCTGGCCCTGGCTCACTCAGCAACGTGCGGAGCAGAATAGGGTCCTCACCCCCAAACCACAGAGCCCTGTCCAGCAGTCCTTGGGTTTAGCACAGGCAGACAAGAGAGAGCTAGGCTCCCAGGAACAATGACACAGCTCACCATTCAAAAAAAGAAAAGCCGACAGGCCACCCACTGTGTAACATGTGTGTGCCGGGGGACCATGCTCTGGGGAAGTAAGCACTTCAGAGGAGTCTAAGAATCAAAGAAGAGTTTGGGGTCCTGGACCAAGAGGCCCTCCCAAGTAGATCAGAGCCCTTATCCAAACACCACTGGACAGTGTTGTGGAAAACACTGGACACAAGGAGCCTGACATGTCGTTAGGAAGATGCAGTTTGGGGAGCAAAGTCATCAGACTGCCGTTTCCCAGAGTGCTGTCTACAGGAGCTGCCCTGCACTCAGAAGCAGGACTGAGCTGCAGCAGCGCCCCGCCATGCTCCCCGCCATGCTCGTTCTATCCTCTGCAAACAACTAGAAGCCTGCTCTGCCTTTCCCTACCCCCCAGCTCCCTCCCTCCTGTCAGCCCTCAGCTGCTGCTTCAAGGCACCATGCAGAGGAGCAGACCAAAAAGTATGGTCCCCACCTCTGGGTTCTGCCTTCCATGGCACTTTTTAAAAAACTTGTATGTATGCCCTCATTTCTTTCCCACCAAAGGACTTATCCACACCATGGTTAGTACAAGAGAAATAAAAAGTCAGGACCTTAGAAAGGAAAAGGTTACAAATGGACTAACTATGAGGTTATAGCTACTAAAAGAGCACCCAACTTGGCTCTGAGCTTCCTAGGAGACAAGGCAAAAGGGCAATATAATATGCTACCCGGCTCTGGCTGGTGGATGGGCAATGCTTACTAGTTCCACAGGGAGAACAAGGCTTGTCTTGGCACTAAATCGTAAAAGAAATCTCTCAGGGTAGGTGTCAGCCCCTCCCTCACTCCCATCAAGCAATCCAGCCAGCCAGCCAGCCCTGGTTTCAAGAGTTTACCAACAAATACAGAACCAGTTTTATATAAGACTCCTCTGGGCGGTGACTATGCAGGCAGGAGTAAGGTGACACGTCCCAGAGGAGAGCAATTTTGCCCCTCCAGGCCAAGAACTCTGCACACCTACAGTGGCAGACGGTGGCTCATGCCCCAGGCCTTCCCTTCAAACATCCCTGCTCCCAGCCAGACTTCTGAGTCTGTGCTAATCTTTCTTCCCAGAGCAGAGGTGTTGGAGACACAGGAACCTTCAGCCTCAGCCGTTTCGTGTCCCCCGCTCTCCCTAGCGTGGTGGCAGCCAGATTTCTCGAGTGGCATGGGGCACTTAATCCACGGCTGGCTCCCTGCCAGCCTAACGCCCTGGCTGGCTTCAGTTTGGAGTCCTGTTCCAAGCTGGCATTGACTTTCTGTTTTGTTTAAGAAAAAGAAAACAGAATAAAACCCAGAAGGCCACACTTGGATTAAGGGATGCCTATTAAAAACCCATGCAAGAGATTCAAATCCGGTAAGGGAAAAGGTGAGGCGCAAGGGGGGAAATGAGCTTTCCACTGTGGATCCGAAGCAGGACGGGCGAGGGCCAGGAGGCTGCAGGGCTGAAGGTCAAAACATGGACGGGCTGGCCTGGCCTGCGCCCGCCCCTGCACGAGGCAGCTCTACCTCCACCTAGGAGATGCCTCGCTCCAATTCCCACGTCCCTCACGCTGCCACGCGGCTTCTAGGTCCTGGCTGTTCCCTCTGCTGGGCCAGCCCTTCCTTCTCATCCGCGGGGACCCAGCCTTTAAAGCCCAGCTCATGAGGCTGTGAAACATTCCCTCGCCACCTCCCTGCAGGATCAGCCTCGGCTACCTGTGTCCCTGAGTCTCCCCGCGCCCGGGCCAGCTGTGCCCCCAGCACCCGGGGTACTAATTCCAACCCACTTCTCTGAGGATCACGGCCACACACCGCGCTGCACATAGAACCCCATGCTCTTTTAGCTGGTGGCAATTTACCGCAACCGAAAACAGTGGCAAAGTCGGAGCCGGACGCTCAAGAGTGTGAGGGCACAGCTGGCATCTCACTTCCGGCCAGCACGTCGCCTGCCATGATTTCACAAGCTCGTGGAAGATTGCAGCAGGAGCTGGCCTAGAAAAGGCCTTGTGCAGCAGCATGAAGACACCTGGGACCAGGTTGGGCCTGCACCCGGGACCCCTGTCCTGGCAGGAGAGGCAGGTGTGTTCTGCCCGAAGCACTCTGGGAAACCATCACCTCCTTAAACTCCAGCTCAACCCGCCCCCAGGGCACTCCCTGGTGCCTCATTTTCCTCTGCCAAGGCCCCTCCCCTCCCTGGATGCCTCACTCTAAAGCAGGGAACAACTTACTCACCGGCAGGAGCCAGCTCGTTACCTTTTTCCTCTCTCGCTGCCTCCTCCTTCCCCTCCATCTGCCCCAATCCTCCTGACTTCAATGCTTCGGAAATTCCCGGTGACTCACCCAGCACGATGTGTAATAACAGGAACGTCACCTGCTCACATCCCCTTCCCTGCAAACAAAGGTCTCAGGGGCTCCGAGAACCCGCCTCGGGCAGGATGCTGAGCTGGGCCTCACTCACGCGTGCGGTTCCTCCCCCAGTCACCACCCCTGACCAGAAGAAGTGGCTTTACTATGGCAGGAGACCCAACCCTCCCCAGACCCGAGCCCTGGGGCCAAGGCCTGGAGTGGGGAGGAAATGAAAAAAGAAACTCCATGTTCTATGCTTTATTCCTTTTTGTACAATAATTTCGTAATAATCTCTTTTAAAAGAAATAAGCAGACGTCCTGAGATGTCCCCATCGTTTCGCAGGGAGAGCTCGCTGTGTGCCTATCTCCATCCTACATTTGGGGACCCACTGGCCGTGAAGAACTGGAAGGGCTGCCGCTGCAGCTGCCTCCGCTTGCCTACCTTTTATTCGCTCTCCAGCCCACTGCCACCCGATGTCGCCCCCACCTCTCCCTGCAAACCGCTCTCCAAAGACTGTCGCTGAACCCCCGATGCCAAACGTAAGGCCTCTTCCTGAATCTCATGCTGCATCTCTGCAGAACCTGGTCACTGCCCTGTCCCTCTGGGCCTCCCTCCCCTCTGGCTGCCATGGTCCCATCATTTCCCTGACCTGGGCCTTCCTGAGGAAGTCCCCCTGAGCATGTCCCTGGCCCTCTTTTCTCCTGGAGCGGGGTCCTCCTCCACTGGATTCATTTGCCCCACGACTTCAGCCGAGCCTCTCGTGGGTTTCCAGAGTGAGATGTGTGGCTGGCGGGTGGGATGGCAGAGAGGCGCTGGGACAGTGATTAGCTCTGGGGAGGAATGCTGGACCAGACAGGCCTCCTTCCTGCAGGCCTCTCAGAAGTGTCACATGCATGTCCCTTGGGGGCTGCAGGAGGGGCCACGGCAGGCTTTCCAAACTCACCCCATCACAAAGCCCTTCCTCCCATCCCACTATGGGAAAGGTGTCACACGTGTTAATGATTTTCAAGTCTGTACCTCCTCTCTGGCCATTTCCTGACTTTTTCTGGCTGCTTCCTGGACACAGGTGAGCACGGCATGGGGTGAACCACCTGTGGGTTCACTGGTTCCACCTCCTGGGTGCTCCGCCTCGGTTAAGAGGCCCCCCTGCCATCCTAATTAAAGCTGGCCCTAAACCCTGCTAATTCCGGCCCATGAGCCCCTCTCAAATGTGCTCTCCCAGCCCTGCACCACTCCTTAAAAGTATCCATCTCAGTCTCCTCTGTAGAAACAGCTGCCTAAGTTGATTTGTTTGTTTGTTTGCCTCCAATAATTTCCCCACACAGTGGCCAGATTAATCTTTATAAAGCTGTCACCAAATACCACCCCCATTCAAAACCCACCGCCAACTGTATTCTGTAGGCAAGAGAGTGCTAAGCTTGACACTCGGGCTCCCTTCTCAGGGCCCCACCAGCCCTTTCGGCCCCCTTTCCCCTTGTCCCTCCTGACAGCCAACCCACCGCGATGCCAGCTGTCCTCGGACCACACACTGCCCTTTCCCCCGCAGCGTCCTTCCCTCCTTCCCGGCCTCACGGCGTCCCACCTGTGCTCCAAGGCCCCAGTCACACGTGCACTGCCTCTCCTGCGCGCCCCACCCTCCCCACGCGTGCGCCTTGGCCCGCGCCGTTCCTCCTCCTCCATGCTTGCTCCCCAGCACCTGGAACAGCACATCAAAGGGGGACACGGACACCTCTGGCCTCACCCCTGCCTGCGAGTGCCTAGGTGCCCTCCCCAGCCCTGCCCACCAGCAGCCGTGGATGAACAACAGAGGAGACACCGGCCAGCCTGGATGCCTGTCCCCACTGGAATGGGGACACATGCCCTCCCCTGAACCCTCAGAGCACTTTATCTGCACCTACGTCTTGTTTTGTGACTATTTCGAGCCCTCCCTTATTGATTCCAACAGGTCACAGCACCTCGATGGCAGGGGTGTGACTCCCCTTCAAATCCCCGGCCTGGACTGGCAGGCGGTGACTGTGCAGGGACCTTCTGGGGAATGAATGCGTGACGAGACGGCGAGCAGGCAGGGCCCCCACCCGGGGGCTGCAACCTAGCGTCTGTTTCCACCAAGTTTATCAATCCCATGCTTGACCTTGGTTCTTCCAAGTGAGACGGAGGGGACAGCTGGTCTAAATGGCCCCGCCAGGCAGGTGTGTCGGGCGGTGACAGCATGCTCTGGATGGGGAGGGTCTCAGTTCAAAGCTAGCTTCTCCGTCTACCAGCTGTGTGATCTGGGACAAGTGAGTTACCCAGTCTGTTCCTTGGTTTCCTAATGTGTAAAATAAACATCTCAGTGCTTCTGCTGTATATAGAAAGTTACGGACACTGGGCTGACACACACGAAGCACCGTGAATAACAGTCAATAGTAAATTCTCAAGAAATGTTTGCCACCGTCTTCACCATCAACTCGTGCCCTTCCAGTTACAACGCTGGGGTCCCTGCGATCTACTGGGCGAGGATGAGGCCCACGGGGCTGAATGGTGAGGGGGTGCGGGCCTGCCAGGCAGAGAGGAAGCCGGGCCTGTCGGCGCCGGTGTCTCCCCATGAATCCTACCCCTGACTCGCCAGCTGACGCGTCCCCGATTCAGACCTTCCCGGCAGAGGTGTAACTAGGCCAGTGCAGAGCAGCGCGGCTCTCTGCTCTCGGCTGGCCGGGCTTGGGGTGGCCCTTCCTTTGCAAGAAATGACCTAAGAATTCTCAACTCTCGGACAGGCAGCCTGAGGCCGGGGCAGTAGGGAGGGAGAACCGCATCACCACGGGGCTCTGCCTCGGGTCCGAGCTCAAGAACCATCCTACCATCCCAGTCTCCACAATCTAGAGAGTGACTCTAACAAATTACTGCCCGGGGCGACTTTCCATCTGAACTACGGGGTCCGCCCGAAGCAGCCACCCCCAAGCTGGCCCGTGACCACTGTGGTTTCCAAGGCAAGTGTCTGCTCTGAAGTCTGTCCACTACAAGTGCTGCCTTGGCCATTGTAGGGTACGACGGCTCAGAAAATAAATCTAGACCAGCCAATCTCAGAAGCTGAAAGCCCACAGTCAAGTTCACGATCACAGCCTTTAATTTCTCAAGTGTTAACACAGCTTCTAGCCTTTGGAGTTTGTTTTTAATAACGCGGTCCTTTCGTACCAGGAATGTGGCCTTCCCTCTGCAGAGCCCAACGCTCACAGTGATAGAATTCTACGAAGATGTTAAAACAGATCACCCCAAGTCACATCTCACACCGCCTGCAGGTCAGCCCACTTTAGAGGGTTTTCAAGCATCTCCCAATATTTCAAATGATGAGTTTCTTCCCCTAATCCTATCGGTCAACATCTGGAAACAGATGGGGCCCCAAAGCGAGTCCAATCCACTTTGATTAACCAAGCTTGGATATTAACCATTTCTTTTCCTGAGCTGCAAATTAAGCCTCAGTAAGAACGGCCGAAACAAAATCAAACTCACGTTTTCTAAAACTACCAGAGCAGAACATGAAAAATTCCCCTCGATAACAACTAAATGGATATTTCATTTGTTTGCAGCCCTGCAGCAGGCTCCATGCCAAAGCCACGAGGACTCCCACGAAGTCTCCCCTCCGGGTGGAGAAGCGAAGGACACCCCCGCGGTTGGAAGACTGGACCCAACAACCGATGGATGTTGTAGAAAGGATGGTCCGGCCACTCCAGAACATCACGAGATAACGCAAAATCACAAACAAGGCATCTAAATATGGAAACGTGTTTACAAAATAATGTAAAGAGAAAAAAGAATGAGAAAACTGACGTGCACTATGATCTCAACAGCACGGCATGAATTTATGTGCCAGATCCACAAAAATCAGAAAGACCATGAGGAAACAAAGGCAGTTGTGCTGGGGTGGTGGGATTATAGGCACATTGCTTTTTTTTCCCCCAAAATGTCTTACTCAGGCAAAATTTAAATTAAGTGTATCTGAAACAAGTCTGTTAAATGTCAGGGCCTGGAGTCTGCATGGCTGCCCGTGGCTTCGCACCAAACCGCACACGTACGCTCAGCTGACCGCAGGCCTTCATCTCCTGGGCATGAGGTTTGGGGGATTTTCATTCACTCACGTCTAGCTGCCCCCCAGGGGAAATACAAACCCGGCACATGGCTGCCTTTCCTGCCACCACTGTTCTCAGGTTTCCCTGTTCTGGGGTGACCTCAGCAACACGTAACCAGAAACCTGACGGGCCGAGCTGAGCTACGTGGATGCTGGTGGGGTCAAGGCAGAGCCTCACCTTCGAGGCCGCCTTCCCACACTGGCCACCGGCCAGGCTGCAGGGAGAGGGGGTTCCAGTCACGGGGACAAGGAGATACTCACCCAAGTTATTGTGTGCTGGGGACATCGGGTTCGGGGATAGGTTTGGAGAGCCTGCAAAGCAAAACACAACTGTGAGAGCGAGACCTCATACAGATTCTTGGCCGGGAGAACCTAATTACTGAACACTCACATCAAGGTGGAATAGCTGAACACAGCAGGAAGGAAGCCCTGGACATAGTTTCCAGGTCCCAGGAGAAGGCCTAACCCCATGCCCTTGCCCAAAGTTTCCTCCCTGGGCCCCAGGTTCCCCATGTGTGGAGTGGGGACTGAGTGGATGATCTCAGAGGTCTCTTAAAACAACATGGTTTTTATGATCCTAACCAAGAGTCCCAACACAGGCTGCTGAGTTCCCAGCTGTAACAGGTGACAACTCTTTTCTTTAGCTTACACCACCTGCCCTGTTCCCTATGCTCCCGGGAACGTGAGAGGGCTAAGGAATACCCTCTTCCCAGTGGGTCCAAGTCCCAGGCAGCGGAAGGCCAGCCCGCGGCCCCAGGTGTGACATCACCAGTCACTGCTCTCAATCAGATGCCGTAGTGGCTCAGGTGCCTGGAAAGACTGATTTCAGGAAACCCACAAACCTGCCTCGGACATCCTGCAACTCGCCAAGCAGACTGACATGTTATGCGAGACGTGATAGTGCACGTGGGAAGCAGTCCAAATCTACCCAAGTCTTACTGTTATCTTTCTCCACCTCTCACCCCCAGAAAAAAGAAAAAACCCACATGGCATCAGCCTTCAAAAGCAACCAGCGGCTGCTTTTCCACAGAGCAGCTTCCTGCTGGTCCCTCCTTTGTTCCTCTATCACGGAGGCCACAGAGTTATTTATTAACCGCCCTGTGGGGCCTGGCTCCACCCTCTGAAATCCACCAGGCCTGGGGCTGGGCCCTGCATCTGGCCCCAAGCGTAGGCTGCCCTGAGCTGTTCCTGGGGGTCTTTTATTCTGCCCCGACCCAGCTGTAGCCTCCTTGAGGGCAAGGGATGAGCCCCGGATGTCTCCTTCTCCCCGTGGCCCCTAAGCCAAAGCAGGAGGTGGAACAGTCACTGGAAGGACAGAGCTACAGAATCAGCCACGGGCTCCAGACACGCCACCACGTAACCGGTACGTGACTCTGGCAAAGTCGTTTAACCTCTTTGAGCCTTAATTGTTTTCCGCAGATATAAAATGGGGATAATATCTCATACGGTGCGACATGTAAAAATTAAATGAGATCGTGCCCAGAGAAATGCTTACGCCTTGACGGGCACACAGTCGGCACTCGATGAATGTCTGTTCCCTATTTTGTGGCGCCTGAATCATGGCAGCCTAGGAGGGTGGAGGGACCTTCCCCTGGTCTGACAGGGCATGTGTGCCTGTGAGGAGAGACACAGGGCTCAACAGGGAGACCCTCTGGCCTTCTGACACCTCAGCTGGCAGGGACACCCAGCCCACGAGCAACTGGACTGGGACCCCGGCAGGCAGCGTGGAGTGAAGAACGGAGAACAGGAGAGCCCCACACGTGGGTCCTCAAAGCCCAGTCTCCGTCAGATAGATCACCGAGGTTCACAGCAGGGCCCTGCAGGCACACGCAACGGGGGAGAGGAAGCAGGGAGAGGGAACAGAGGAAAGCAGGGCAGAAGGGGAGAGGAGGGAGAAGAACCCAGAGCCGCGAGAGTGGACACGAGGCTGTTCTTTCCACATACAGCCCCTGCACTCTGGCCTGCAATCATTTAGGACAGTGATCACCCTGCAGCTACGGAGAGCAGCAAGGAGGGGGGAGAGCAGGGTGAGAAGCAGCAGCAGCTGGAGAGATGCCGCCCGGCCGGCCCACCTCCCGTGCCAGCGTTTCATAGCTGCACGCTTGCAGCGGTCACTTGGCACCCGACACAGGAAGACCTGCAACGCATTCCAGCTGGGTTCACGCTGCCAGCCACTCCTCCGGGTGGGTGTGTTTCAGGGGCTGTGCTCAGCCCAAAAGTGCCACCTCGCTGGGGCGAGATTTCAGCAACTACATTTACAACGTGCATGCGTGTCTCTTTCGCTCTGCTTTCAGGAACTGCACAATCTCATCTGGGCGGGGTGCAAGGGCAGGTGGCCCCACTGTGTCTAGCGGCTGTGCGCGCGGCACACCCGCCATCGCCGGAATGAACATCTGCTCGGCCCCCGGCCCTCTCCCCGCCCAGCCACACAAGGCAGTGCGTGTTCTATGTGGCAGCTGGGGCTCAATTCAAGAAGCTGCTGGTCTGGAGCCAATTTGGTCCCGTAACAAGTGACTTGGGAAACATCTGGAGACGTGGCAGGAGAGAACTAGGCCCGGTCCCTCATGGCAGGATCACATTTGGTCACCACACAAAAACAGTGGCTTCAGGGGTCTCCTCCGGCCATCGGAAAAGGCCTTACCTCCATTCATGCTCCCTTGCCTCCCACCTGAGGATCTCAGGTGATCGAGCCCACCCTCCACCCCACTGCCAGAAATCTCACGGGGGCACAGGCCTTGCTTACAGCCTGCAGTGGCTCCCTCCCCATCAAGCCCAGCTAAATGCCAAGGGGTCCGCCTGGCTTGAAGGTCCACCACGCTTGGCCTCCTAGCTCTCCCCCTCCTGGAGAGAGAGTGTGCGCCAGCCACACGGAGCTCCCCGGGCTGGACTCCAGCCGCACTGCCCCTGGAATGCCCCAGGCTCTCCTGCCCACACCCCCATGACTCTCCCTGGCACACCCTTTGCCCACCTGTTGGCCTGGCCAACACCTACACAGCTCCAAGACTCAATCAGGAACAACCGACACCGCAAGGTACTGCTCCTCCCACACTGGGTGAGGGGCCCTGCTCTGTGCCCCTGACGCCAGGTGGCATCTTCCATCAGGGCAGGTGTGGGACGGCACAGCAACTGCTGCCATCTCACCAATCTCCCCTGTCATCTGTGCCTGGCTCGGGCCCTCTTCTACGCCTAGTACCTGGCAGGGATTGCTCTGTAAATAAATAACGACAGACAGACAGACAGACAGAAGGGAGGGAGGGAGGGAGCAAGGGGGTAAAGAGGAAAGTGCAGAAGGGACGGACAGGCCAGTCAGAGTGCACCCCGCGTGGCTGACCTGCATCCATGCTGTGGTTCATCTGGTGGTCGCTGGTTTCTCCATCTTCACTCAGGTAGCCAGGGGGTGGGGTCTCTGGGAAGCAGAAGGAAGGTGGTCCATTAAAAGGCCTCCAAGCCTTGGCCTGGAGATACCTTTTGCAAACACATCGCACATTCACGCCACCATGCCAGCACTGGAGCTCCGGCCTCTGCTGTCTTCACACCTGTCAACCTCCAGCACCCCACCTGGACTGAAACTGCCAGTGTTCACACCAGACCAGCTCCCGAGTCTGAAAGGCCCGCTCCTGAAGTCACTGCCAGGCTCACTTCTTGTCCTCCAAGGTCTGAGCTGAGCCCCACCCCTCCAGGGAAGCTCTGGACTTGCCTCAGCCTCACCCATCTCCGTCTTCCGAAGAGCTGCCTCCACACTTTGGCCCCTACTGTCCTCTCCTGTGTTGTCACTATCTGTAGTCTTGGGGGGGATGTGTCTTAGCTCCCCAGTTACGCTGCAAGTTCAACAATGGCACAGACTGTGTAATCTACTTCTCTGAAACCCTCCCAGGCCCTGACTTAGCCCACTGAGGTTGCATATTTGAATAGGGAGTAGACGACTTATCCCTTAGAGACCGGTTACCTGCCAAGATCTGAAAGGGCTAGAAATCAGGTCTCCCCTTAACGCTCTGACCCGAGCACACAGGCCTGTAGCCAACCTCAGCACAGTCCACTAACCCAAGGTGAAAGCCATGTCTGAATCAGAACGATCTCAGAGGAATGCAGCAGGATTGCTGCCCCGGCAAGCAAAAGCAGTGACTAGCCCAAGTGCTGCCAAGCACAACTTTCCTGGACCGGGAGAGTGCTGGTGATTCACACATTATTTGCATGTAAATGAGGGGCCTCAGAAAACATCCGCAGCAGTGGTGTCCCTGAGCCCCTTTCTCCCAGAGCAGTGAAAGCTCAAAGTCTGCCTCAACTCCCACCCAGGATGCAGCCCCTGCCAGGGTCCTAAGGCCAGACTTGGTTACAGGGCCAGTTTTCTGCACCCACGGCTACCCAGCCCTCCGCTCTGTGCCCACTAGGGCCCCCCTCAATCCTGCCTCTGCAGCCCCCAGCGGGTCGCGGACCCTGCCTGAACGCCAGCACCAGCCGCAAGGGCGGGGAGAGAAACACAGTGTTGCTATTTCCGCTTCCAAGATAAATGACTGCACCAAGGCCGGGCGGAAGGGTCACGCTGCTCCTCTGTGCCAAGAAAAGCATCATTAGTGAGCGGGGAGCTGAGGCCACGGGTCCTCTCCCAACAGGGATGTGGTTCTGCGTCTGGGGCCCTCGGCCAGTGCTGTGCGCAGAGAGGGCGTGACAGGGGCCTGCTGAGGGGGGCAGAGAGCGGAGCGTAGGACTGATGTCGGGGCTGGCCACCACCCCAGCCTCCCAGGGCAGCCTGCGCTGCCCACGTGCGTACCTGGAATATTGCTCTGGGGCTCGATGCCCGCAGGGAAGTTAGTGTTTTCGGGGATGGAATGGCTGTAGTCGTCCAGCGGGGGGAACTCGGCCGGGATCTCTGTGTGGCGTGGCACCAACACAGGAGGTAGAACTGTCCGGGGGAGACAGAGCAGAGGTGGCTCAGGTCGATGCCAGGCTGGCCCCAAAGCCCCTGCACCCCCAGTGTAGCGGAGACCCTCCCAGGGTGGGGTGATGACCCGCAGGTGGCTCCTGACCGGCCGGCAGGCCAGGCGGCGTACCTGGCGTCTCTACTCGCTGGTAGTGGTAGGGATTCACACAGACCTCGTCCTTCTTCATGTTGAAGGCGAACTCACACAGCTCCATGGCCCGCAGCTCATGGTGGCTGTGCAGGTCGGGCCACCGCCACAGGCGGCAGTAGATGACATGAGGGAGCCCCTTCCGATGGGACACCTGAAGCCGGCCGTCCAGGGACCTGTGGGACAAGGAGGGACAAACAGAGATGGGTGGGTTTGGCTTGTCTCTGACAGCTCCCAGCGAGACTGCGATTGCTGGCAGATGCTCAGAGAGCCGCTGACTGCCAGTGTGACCCTAGAAGTGGAAAACAGAGGCCCACCGAGGAAGGCGAGGCCCCCACAACTAGCAGAGTGGCCTTGGAGAGCCCCCAACCCCTACAGCTCCGTGGGCAGCAGGGCTCCGTGCAAAAGGACCTGCACCTGAATCGCGCTTGAAAGAGAGCCGCTCGTCTGATCCCTACTTGGGTGAAGCGTGGAGAGCTCAGGACCGAGCAGGGCAAGGAGAGCTCTTTAGGCGCAGATGCGAGAGCCACAGTGATTGGAGGAAGGGTGACAAAGTGCACAGGCTGTGATTACTAACCTGGTCCTTCCCTCACATATTAGAAAGTAAATAAAACTCTCCCATTTAGCTGTTATTTGTGGTGAAGCAAAGAGGGAAGGAGGGAAAGGACAGGAAATTTCAAATGGTAAAATCCTACACTGCGGACCTCTCAGGGTTCCGCCAGCTCTTGGGCTGTTTGCAGGCTGGCCCAGGTGACAGCGCCCGCAACGCTCTCCCGGTTCTGAGACTTCGGCGCGAGGGCCCACGGGACGCGCACGGGGCAGGACAGAGCAGAGCCTCGGCCTCCAGCCAGGCTCTGTGGGCCACGTCCCCAGCCTGGCTGGGACACACACCTGCAAATGGCTCGTGCCTGACTCTGCGCAGACACTGTCTTCTGCGGTGAGCTGTGGCACTCCCGCCTCTCAGGCCAGGGCCACGTGTGGTCCCTGACCAGCAGCCGTGGCCCAGGGAAGCACAGTGCAAATCTGGATGCTCAGAGCCTCCCCCACCTACGGAATGAGAAGCTCCCTCTCTATGAAATCTCCAGGTGAGCTGCACGGTGACAGCTGGGGAGGAGCTCAGGAGCCACAAAGCGCTGTCAGCTGAGAGCAGAGGTGGGAGCCAGGCGGTTTCCAAAGGGATTTCAGAAGGTGTCTGGTATTAGACAGGTGAGGAGGCTTCTTTTACACGAAATCCTTATTTAGCACATATTTTATGAGCACTTAACTGCGTGTGGCACAAAGAACGCAGTGGTGAGGAAAGAGACCTCACAGTGACAACAGACCGGCAGAGTGGTCCCTGCTCCCACGAAGCTCCCAGTCCAGTGGACAGGACCCACATTAAGCCAATAATCCCAGAAAGCTACAGTCACGGACCATGAAAGCGTATCCTGAGTACAGAGAACCCCACAGGGGTCTAGGACTGTGCCATCTCACTTTGCCAAAGGCTTGGACAAGGCCTCCTGAGGAGATGGTGGCTGACCTGACAGACTACCCAGGCAAAGGGGTACAGAGAAGGGCATTTCCAGCAGAGGGAAGAGCATGTGCAAAGGCCCTGCAAAGGAGTGCAAGAGGGCTGGTGCAAGATGAGGCAGGGGAGGCAGGCGGGGCTGACTCTGCAGGGCCTTGGAGGCTACAAGAAAGGGTTCTGTCTTTTTTTCCAAAAGCAAGAAGTAGCCTCTGGGATGTTTAAGTGGGGTATGCATATATGTGAGAGAGACAGGCTGGTGACAACTCTGGCTGCGTGTGAACCAGGAGGCTCCCTGTTTGGAGGCGGTACTGCTCCTTCTGCAAGGGGGCCCATCCTAGGACCCCACCAGGCAGTGGCACGATTCTGCCATTAGCTGGGGAGGCCGACGGCGAGACACTTGCAAGCCCTCCTCTCTGCCCCGTGACCGAGGGCACGCATTTGTTGGAATAGACAGACTCTGTGGGCACTCTGGGGGAGGCTCGCCGGATGTCCGAGAGAGAGGGAAACGGAGGGATCCAATCAGACTCTCCACGCCCCTGGCCTGGGAACAGGGAAGGACAGACAAAGGTCAGAGCTGGGCTTGGTCACAGGAACTGACCCGGAGTGCTGACTAAGGGCATCTGGAAGGATGTAATTACCTTCCTCCCAAGGGGCGCCGTTCCAAGGAACCCCTGCAGCCGAAAAACAGCAATTACCAGGCAGAACAAGAGAGGCCATCCTGGGACTCGTCCCTGAGGTACAGAAGACAGACCGGCAGGGGCACAGTCGAGACCGGGGGCGAGAAGTGGTTTTACTCTCACAGCTGTGGGGTCTCTAGGACGCTCAGCTGCCTCATCTGTAAAATGGGGACCTCACGAAGCTCTGGCATCCTTTTGAGCATTTTGTGAAGCTCCAACAAGCGGGCATTACTGTCCTGCGTCGCATCACCCCTCCCAAGCCCCGCCCGGGACAAGCGAAGTGAGCCGGAGAGAAAGGGAGAGTGGGAAGTGGTGACAGAGAACTATTCAGCTGCTCTCGTCCTCTAGCAAAGCCACCGCGCGCCCACAGATTAGGGAAGTGGCCACGTTTGCTCTTCAGTGTTTGACAGAAACCCCAACACAGGGCCGGCTGGACGTCGTAGCTGCCTCTGCAGGGGCAGGCGGTGGAGAAAAGCTCAGGCCGGCAGCGAGGAGAGAACGGGGCCGTGGATGGAAGCCCCACCTGGGGGATGCAAAGTGGTGGGCCTTTTGCTATAAAAAAATAATATGAATTATTTTGATAATAATTAACATAGTACTGCCATGTGAGTTGTATTTAACTCATGCTAATTTTGAGTCTGGGACCTCATAAATCATATGTAACTCACACGTCTCTTCACCTTGGGAGCCAAGAGAACTATTTTCCAAGTTGTATATAACTCATGCACAGAAAATGATAAAAAATAATAAATTTTTAATTAAATTAGAAAGGATCATTTTGTTTGCAAAGTTTTTATTCTCTTTCATAATAATACACTGTGGCCCCAAAGAAAAAAAAATTTTTCTAGGATGGCTGTCAATGTGCTAAACTTTTAAAAGCAGGAGCTACCGTAATCAAGGCAGTGTGGTAATGGCGTGAAGACTGGTCAAAACATCAATGAAACCTAATAGAGTCCAGAAATAGTTACATGCACATGGATAACTGATTTCAACAAAGGTTCAAAGACAATTTAGTGTAAAAAGGAGACTCTTTTCAACATATGGAGCTAGAACAACTGGATATCCATATGTAAGAAAAATGAACTTCAACCTATACGTTGCACCCTGAAACAAAAATTAATGTGTTTTAGAATGTAAACCTTAAAATTATTAAAATTCTACAAAAAAAATAGGAGAAAACTTTTGTGATCTTGGGATAGATAATGGCTTCTCAGATACTACACCAAACACACTCCATTAACAAAAAATAGACAAATCAGACTGCATCAAAATTTAAGCTTCTGGTCATTGAAAGATACCATCAAGAGAATAAAAAGACAAGCCACAACCTAGCAGAAAATATTAGCAAACCATAAATATGATAATGGACCTGTTTCTGAAATATATAAAGAACTCTGAAAACTCCATGTTAACAGACAATTCAATTCTTTAAAAAAGAGATAAATGATTGGAATAGACACTACACAAAAGACATAAAGATGGCAGGTAAGCATATGAAAATATGTTTAACATCATTAGTCATTAGGGAAATGCAAATTAAAACTACAAGGAGATAGGACTACATAATATTAGAATGGTTAAAATTAAAAAGACTATGCCACATAGGTACTACTGTAATAGGGTATAGGGCAGGTGGGAGGGGGGAGGGGGTGGGTATATACATAAATAATGAGTGAGATGCACACCATCTGGGGGATGGTCGTGCTGGAAACTGACTTGTGGGGGGAGGGGGGAAAGGGCACTTATTGAAACCTTAAAATCTGTACCCCCATAATATGCCGAAATAAAAAAAATAAATAAATAAAAATAAAAAGACTATGTCACATGTTGGCAAGGACATAGAGCACAACTGGAATTCTCATGCATTGCTGGTGTGAATATAAAATGGTACAACTAATTTGGAAAAGTTTGGAAATTCCTTTAAATTTTTTATTTTTAGTTTTCAAAGATACATAATAGTTGTACATATTTATGGGGTACATGTGATATTTTGATACAAGCATACAATGCATAATGATCAAATCTGGGTAATTAGGATATCCATCCCTCAAACATTTGGACGTTTCTTTAGAAGTTAAGAACATAAGCCTACCATATGATCCACCCATTCCATTTCTAAGTATTTACCCAAGAGAAAGAAAAGCATATGTCCAAAGACTTGTGCATGAATGTAATAGCCCAAAACTAAAAATTACCCCATGTGTATCAATAGATGAATGAATAAACGAAATAAACTAAACTAATACACCCATACAAAGAAATACTACTCAGCAATAAAAAAAGATGAACTACTTATACAATTAACACTATGAGTGAATCTAAAAATAATTATGCTCAGTGAAAGAAACCACACAATTCTGTTTATGTAAAATTATAGGGTAATTTAAAGTAAAAATGCAAACTAATCTATAGTGACAGAAAGCAGATTAGTCATTGCGTGGGGAGGGAGGGATTACTATGAGACATGAAGAAACTTTTGGAGGATAAAGGTTATGTTTATTGTCCTGATTGCAGTGGTGGTTTTATGGGCATATGTCAACATTTGTCATATTGTACATTTTAATATGTATATAGCTTATTTGTAAATTATACTGTAATTTAAAAAAAAAGGCAAGGGCTTTGGCCTTGGATAAACCTGGATTTAAATACTGACTCGGTGCTTGCTAACTGGATAAACATGTCCAAATCACTTCTTCGTGTTAGTATTTTTCATCTGAAAAATAAGGACACATACTCCTTCATTGAATTATTGGGAGGACTAAATGATACTCTGTGCATAAAACCCTTAGCACAAGGTGACAACACAGTAAGTGGCAGAAATTATTGTCATATAACTATTACTGCCTCATTGCTATGACAGTGCCTGGCAAAGTAAGGTACACGGTAGACACTAGTCCCTTTCCCTGCCTCAGCCAGCTGGGTGCAGAGTCAGGAGGGTCGTACTGATGCCTCACGTCTGCCTGGTGTTTTTAATTTTCACAGGGCTTCTGTG